TACTTGTTTATGCATCAGGTACTTTCGGTGTTTGTTTGAATGGTTTCATGTCAAGGTTTTTAAAGGTCAAAGAGATAACGAACAACCGGGTATAAATAACCAAAAAAGGAAATTGTAAAAAAAAACAAAATAACAAAAAACCAAAAAACGATAGGATAATCAAAATTCAAAATTAATTTTATTAAAATATAATTAAAATTAAAAGTTAATAAACTATTTAGACTATGTTTATAATAAAAAATGAGAATAGCGACATAAAAAATTTTATTACTACGATCCACTTTGACAAACTAAAAATTTCTTTTTCACTTGCTGTTGTCTTATGTAAAGAGATGACGTCATTTGCGATATAAAATTTACAGCGGGGGGAGTTTTCTTCGCAGATTTTCGGCAAAACAGTGTGGATTGCGTCCTTTCTTTGTTCAGCAGTCAAAGGTGAGTAATTCCAAGCATAATTATATTTTTTTCGTTAATTAGAAAAAAAATAACATTCTGGTCGTTGTGTATATATGCATTTAGTGTTTCAACATACAAAATTCCGTTTCACAGAAATTTCTGCACGGCTGAAATCAACCAACGGACATCGAAGATGGACAACACATGCAGCGATACAATTTCTCCTATGTTTTTCAAGGTTCAAATTATGTTTCTACTAAGACAACCAATTGTCAGCGTTTCTCATTAAAGGATTTTGCGAAAAGCGCATCAATGAAAAAACTTAGGTTTCTCAGTTTTACTGTTGAACTAACTAGATGCAACCGTATGTTCTATTCTAATAATTTACTTTCTCGCACTTCTCGACTATGGAACTCCATTCCAATTTCCTGCTTCCCTGCTATCTGCAATACTCAAAAAATTAAATGCAAAGCCAATCGCCATCTTCTGTCTTCCTGAATCCTGTTCTTTTTTCCACACTAAAGTTTCCTCACTCTCTTTCACTGCCAGCAACTCCTTGTGTCTTAGTGGCATTATTACAATATTTGATTTTAAGAATAAGAAACATTAACATCAAAATCAATTGACTTTTGTGGAAAAAACAAGCCAAACTATTTTTTAACTTTGGTTCCAAGTTCGCGTGGGACCGCCAAATTAAAAAAAAAAAAAAAGAAAGAAAGAAAAAAAGGCGTACGGTGTAGTAATGGATAGCGGCTCGGAATGAGGAATCGGAGAGCCGAGTTCGAATCTATTACATTCACTTACGTGCTAATACCCTTGGCAAAGGTATGAATCCTTTTCTTTTCCCACTAGCTATGGGTAAATAGCAGGACAGACCCGGTTTTATAGCCTTGGGTGGCAACTTGTCTACCGCAGAAAGAAATGGCAACCTCGTCATGTTATCGAAAGATACATGATCGCCTAAGCATTCAGAAGAATTGAGCCTGTTGCTAAATATCTGCTAACAAGGCACTTGGTGTTTTCTCAAATTGATTGAGTCTGTTCTCCACATTTTCAGGGGGGGGGGGTGCATACAAACTTCATTTTCTTTTTAAACCACCATCACAACGGAATGCAGATTTTACTGCAGTTACAATAACTTTGTCTTTGTAATTTACCCCTGAAAAGGTCGAAAGTACTTGGGCTAAAATAAACTACAGTGCCTTCATGATGAATTTCACTTTAACATCAAGAAACTGATTAGACAACTGGAAAAGATCAGTCTAAAAATAAGTAGACACAATATGTTTATATTATTCAATTAAACATGTTTCAAAGATATGATGCATAAATATATACGTGTGTGTTTTATGACCAGTTGTTTTTAGACATTACATTGTATATTTAAGTATGTTTGTGTGAAACCTCTGTTTGATGTGCTTTTTTAGCGTTAGGCCTCATAGTGATTCAGTAAGCGTAGCTTAGATGTGGCACAAGGCCAAAAGCGAGGTTTGAATTTACTACTCTGTCGTAATTGATCTAGCAAGACAAGTTTGCTGACCATTACATCTCGTCGAAGTGTCCCAATTATTAGGCCTTATGTGATAAACATACTCTCAATGCATTTAATATTTTATCGATTTTTGCGTTTAATATTAATAAGTGCAGAAGATTCACAGAGTTATGATGTAGACAATAGCAAGAAAATATGCAATGTTTTACTACCCCTACACATAAGCTGCTAGTGGCCCTCTGGTGACAGCCACCGGTGGGCCACTGGCTGACCACCGGTGGACCTCTACATTTGCCGAGATGAACATGCCGGCTGTGGTAGATTGGTGGCTTGCATGTAGGAGGATATTCTTTAAAGAATATTCAAAATTGATCCCTTAAAGATTAAGGAATTTAGCACCCAGTTTAAAATATCAAATGAAAAAGACCTGTAAATTGAATATGGATGGACCTTCGTGTACGCAATAAGACAAAATGCCAAATAGACGGTTTTTCCCATGAAACTATCTCCACTCCTCGGCAATGTATATTATTTTAAAAATCAATTTAGTAAGCCCTTTCCTTCTTACACAACAGCTGTTGTTTATCACTTGTTCTCTCTTTTCTCAACGTGATACGGCACATGATGAATTAAAAATATAGTCATGTCCAAACTCAACATCTACACACAGTTTTCTAAATTTGTATGGCAGACACAAGTCACTTATATCAAAGACAATAATTTCTTTTAAGCAGCGTTTAACCTTCGTTAACCGAAAAAAAAAAAACATGTGTCAAAAGGACGGTTATTCCCTTGACACCTCTATTATTCCCTTGGAAATGTTTGTTTAAAAAAGTAAACAAAAATTAAATGTTTTTTTGTTTTCTAAATAAAAGAAAAGGAAAAAATGAAATTTTCATGCCCGAAAAAAAAGAAGAAAAAATGTAGTGTCAAATGATGGTTTTTCCATTGGCACTCCTTTTATTTTAACTACCTTCATGCTTTTCCCATGTTGACTTTATTTTTCTAATTATAAATGTTAAACTACTCGTTTTTGGACTATTGTCTTTTTACCTACTGACTTTATAAACGTCACTGAATCAGTGAATAGTTTGCATTGTATTGCCACAGCAAAAAGCGACAATTCTAGCACAGTAAAAATTACGAACTTCTTATTGAATATACGGTACCTGACAAACATATATTTCTAGGGGATTGTCTATTTTAAACGATTTAAACACTGATTTATCTCTTTTACAACGTTCATTATATTTTTAAACTAGACTCATATTCTGAGTACTTCTTTGGATATGTCATGCATTCGTAATAAAACAAGGAATGTCTGTTTCAACTATTTTTTAACACTTACCTTGTTTCGGCGAAAGCATAAGCGAGGGCGTTTCAAAAACTATTAAGCCTAAGCACCTAAGAACCTCCCCACGCTCCAGGCAGTACCTCTTCTTCGGGGGGGGGGGGCTGTATTTAATGCCCGGCGCCTGAGGCATCTCAATAAGGGGGAAGTATAGAGGACGCTCGAACAGTTTTTCCACGGTATCACCGTTAAACCGAAACCACCGGAAGTGGTCTCGGTTAAACCCGCTTTAAACCTTGACCTTGTGCCAGTAGCAACGTAGGCGCACTGAAAAATACCCTTACCTTGAATTGAACTTCGCGTTGCTCAAGAGAGGTTGAAATTAATGTTAAGTCCAAGCCCCAGGTATTACCTCTCCTCAGGAAGGGGTGGGGGACTGGGTTTAATTCCCGGCGCCTGAGGCGTCCTCAGAAAGGGAAGAGCCGAGAGTGCTTGGGCAATTTTTTCAACGGTATCGTCGTTAAAGCAACTTTAAACTGAACCTATGTCACATTTGGTAGAGACGTGGACTCAATGAAAAATACATTATTTCAATCATTTCTTCCCGTGAATAAAACAATAATGGCATTTAATTCAACATGTTTGCCAGATGAGATAATTCAGTGCGGAAATCTCTTTGTTTGAAACGCTGAACTAGATAATACGCGATTTATTTATCTGTAAATAATAATAAAAATTGTTTTATCTGGGCAATCAGAGAAAGGATACGAATTTATTTGGTCCTTAACCGCTGGATACACACACAGCTGTTATCAAAAATGATATTCTTTTTTTAAAAAAAAAAATCAATTTAGGAAGCCCTTTCCTTCTTACACAACAGCTGTTGTTTATCATGTGTTTTCGCTTTCCTCAAACGTGATACGGCACATGATGAATTTAAAACAGTCATGTCCAAAGTCAACATCTACACACAGTTTTTTAAGTGTGTATGGCAGACACAAATAAGTTACTTATATCAAAGACAATCATTCTTAAAGTACCGTTTAACCTTCGTTAACCAAACCCCCCCCAAAAAAAAAGATGTGTCAAAAGGACGGTTATTCCCTTGACCCCTCTATTATTTCCTTGAATTTTTTTTTTAAATAAACAGCGGAAATTTTTTTTTTTAAATAAAAGAAAAGAAAAGAAAGCAATTTGGAGCATCATGCCCGAAAAAAAAAAAAAAAAAAAAGTAAAAAACGTAGTGTCAAAAGATGGTTTTTCCATTAGCACTGCTTTTATTTTAACTACCTTCACTCCTCGGCAATGTTTATCTTTAAAAAGCAATGATTAGAATTGTAATAAAACCTAAACATATGAAAGCGAATTTATACATTTTCTTTATTCTTGAGAATTTATAACAAAAATAATAAACACTATTTATTTATTATATTGTTTATTGGAATAGCTAGCAAAACATCGGCTAATTGCCAATTGATTCGAATTTTATAAAAAAATGGTAAATTCTCAAGAACAAAAAATGTATAAATTGATTTTCATGTTTAGGTTTTATTGCAATTTCTTTCACCGCTTTTTAAAACAATAAACATTGTCGAGGAGTAAATATAGTTAAAAATAAAATAATAGCGATGTCATGGGAAGACCGTCCTTTTATAGATACAGTTTCTGCTAATTAGCCCATAGCTGGAGGGATAAGAGGTGGATTCATATCTTTCCCAAGAATATTTATGCATAAGTGAATATAACGAACCCGACTGGAATTGAAACTCTGTTCTCTAATTCCGATCCGTCATCGATTTCACCACTCGCACATCCAAGTTTACAGCACCTCTCCCAACCGTTCACCCATCTAGGTACTGACCAGATTCTTCATTGCTTAAATTCAGTGATCGTACGAGAACCGGTGTTTCAACGTGATATGGCCGTAAGCCTGAAATGTGGTTCTAAAGAAGGACTCTGAGAATACCATGGACGAAGCACAACGAATAGATATTAAGGAAAATGGAAACGAAATGGACAATTTTATTAAGAATAAGAGAGAGACAGTTGAAATGTCTTGGACTCATCGTGAAGAAAGAGGGCTTGGAGAATTTGATACTCACAGGACATATCGGAAGCAAAAGAGAGAGGGGGCAGCAACGAGGTGAATTGTCGAACGAGGATGAGAAGGATGGTAAAAAGACAAATGCTACTAAGAGTTACACATAATAAGAAGTTGTGGAGAGCTATGGTCGCTCACGTCCTGAAGGCACATAGAAAAATAAGATTTTTTTAGACGTTACTAATATTACATTATAGTGTAGTTTGGTCTAATGGTTAACGGCTTGGAATTGTAAATCGGTTGAACCGAGTTTGAATTCCAGTTGGGTTCGTTACATTCACTTATGCATAAATATTCTTGGGAAAGATATGAAGCCACCTCTTCTCCCTCCAGCGATGCGTAAATACTCTTGGGGAAAGTATGATCCCCACCCACTAGCTATGAGCTGAATATCAGGAAGGACTGGGTCCTGTAGTCTTGGTTGGCATCCAGTCTACCTCAGAAAGAAAGCGCAGCTTACTGCTGGAAAATCTGCCCAGTCAGTCATGACTCGAAAGAGATACGATCGTCAAAGCGTGTGTCACGTGTGACACTAAACTGATCGATTGAATGAATACGCTATTATTTTTGCCAATGTTCGCAGCAGAGAGGTGCCAGTAAAATAAATAATATTTCGATCACTGTGACCCCAGCAACATTACAATTAGAAAAATAGTGTCAGCGACCGTTCATCCGACATACACAGATCGTTCTTTAATGAGCATTTGTATAAATCAAATAATATGGTCCGTGTCTGATCTCACGGAAATATAGCGATTTTCCAAGCGTAGCTTAGATGTGGCACAAGGCCGAAAGTATGGGGGCAAACAGTGAGGATCGAACTCACTACTCCGTCGTAATAGTTCTAGCGAGACAAGCTTGATAACCATTAAAACTGCTTCGAGGTGCCCGTAGCTTAGATGTGGCACAGGACCGAAAGTATGGAGCACCTAGTGAGGATCGAACTCACTACTCAGACGTAATTGCTCTAGCGAGCCACGCTTGATAACCATTACACCGCCTCGAGGTACCCAAATGATTTTCTTAGCGTAGCTTAGATGTGGCACAGGGCCGAAAGTATGGGGCACACAGTGAGGATCGAACTCACTACTCCGTCGTCATTGTTCCAGCAAGACAAGCTTGCTAACCATTAAAACTACTTCGAGGTGCCCGTAGCTTAGATGTGGCACAGGACCGAAAGTATGGAGCACCTAGTGAGGATCGAACTCACTACTCAGACGTAATTGCTCTAGCGAGCCACGCTTGCTAACCATTACACCACGTCGATATGCCCCTGATATCACGGAAAATTACGAGTCATTTGAAATAACGAGGTACGAGCAAATTCATTAACACTCAAACAGCGGTCAAATATTAGTGTGTGAGGCGTGCTGAAAAGTTCCCAGTCCAACCCAATACCCAAACTCTGGGATAAAAAATGACCAAACGGAATTTTTACAATCTTTTTTTTTTTTTTTTGGTGTGTGTGTGTATGACATGGGGGGCTTCTTTTCAGTCTCCACTGCAAGCTCTATTGCTATTTCAGTTTTTAAGTGCTCAGAAGAAATACATTCCTTAGTTCTAACTTCCAACAGATCTAAAATTCACTCCCAAGACCCGCCATGCTAAGTAGCGAATCACCTTCTTCGTATTCCATTGGTGAAATGTAAATTCCACTTGAGCAACGTTTTCACATGAACTGCTGCTTTTGACGCAAAACATTGTTGATGTTATGGAATATGGAATATGAATGGAATGGAATATGACAAATCTCTAATTTGTAGTTAGATGCATTGTATTTATTTTCAGTTTTTCTATTTGAATTATTGAGTCACCTATTGCATGTGATCCATTATTGTTGTTTGTACATAATTAGGTTACACACTCACTTTGGAATTTGTATTTTTTTTTATATGTACTACTAACTTATGAAAATTGAAATGTAGTAGGGAGTGGGAACCGTATCATAAAATGGGGGCGTATAATAAGTTAGTGGGAGGTTACAAGACCCTTGAACCGGCCCTGCGTGTCACTTATTGTGACTTTGGTGATATATTTTCTCGCACCCGTACATCGTATCTCTCTATCGTTTTTACGTGTAAAAATTGTCAATCCTCCGAGGTTAGAGGGATAAGATACCCATGGTCTCGTGTGAAAACTTAATTCTTATTTTTGACATGCTAAGTTAGTATAAATAAATTATAGATCATAATTGCGTTTTTAATTTTATCCAGACTACTTTCAGCAACTCATAAATTTTATGAGTTGCTGAAAGTAGTCTGGATAAAAGAACGACATCTGGAAATTAGGGAACAAAAACCCTTCTTTTTCTGTTCATTTGACAGTAAGGACAAGGTCATTATTAATTTGTTGTTAATAATAATGTACAGTGTAACCCGGATATAAGAGAGATTTTCTCTGGTCCCAAATTAGAGCCTGTGTTAATGTAAACTAGACCAAACCCGGATATAAGAGAAACCCGGATATAAGAGACTTTTTCTCCGGTCCCGACAACTCTCTTATATCCGGGTTACACTGTAATAATAATAATAATGTTAAATTCAGATACTTGAGTCAATATCTGTTTTCTTGTTTGCCATTTGGAATTAATATGGACCCAACTATGACAGTTTTTTGTTTGTAATTATTGTGTTGTTGAAAATTTAAATGTGTCGTGATGTTGTTTACTACTGAGCGTCATTCAAAGAGGATTGGGTGGGGCAACAATAACCAATCAGATGGTCGTATTGTCCCATTGTAAATTTTAGTAAACTAGTTGGATTTTTTATTTTTAGTGGTAACTAACTACACCATTACGTCGGACGATAGTAGTGACCAACTTCTCTTCTTGACGGTAAGCCGTAAATGTTATTCAATAGCATTTAGTAGTGCTAGAGATTAGATTAAAAAAAAAAAAAAAGGAAAGGTAGACATTTTTAATCTCTTCTTTACACTTTATTACCTATGTTTTCTTCTGTTTTTTGTTATATTTTTTTACCGAATATAATTTTTGTGAAGCATGTAATTTTACAAAAAATAATCACTTTTTTACCCTACGAGAAAAATCATTTTAATTTCTAGTTAAATTTGTAATCATGTGTCTTACTTAAACACAAACGTAGGGAGCCCATGTGAAACTGATTTGATAAGTGAAAAGAAAGGAATTACAGAAAAAAAGAAAGAAAAGTTTAAGTAACATTTAAAAATTTTACCCTAAGAAAAATTGTCGAATATAACATTTGAGAGGAAAATTATCAGAAAATTTAAAATTCTACTTACTTACTAAATCAATTTTTTTTTTATTCCCGTTCTTTCGCTTCTAATGGGTTATCCTAAAAAAATCCCAGTTTGTTGGAAGTTATTTATTTTTAATATCCCATCGCTACTCTACTAAAATACTTCGTGTTTACTTAAAAAAAAAAGAAAAATACATTGGAAAAGGTAGTACGCAAGGAAGGTCTCCTGAACGCATTTAAGTACTCAAGTTAAGATAATGTGTGTTAAAGCAGGAGTGAAAACATGTTTGTTAGTTAATCAAAGAGTGCTTGTTTTCTAATTACTGTGTAGTGTGTACTTATTTATTTATTTTGTCTGATGGATATGTTTTTAAGTAATTTTAAATACGCTAACATCACCATAATAAACATTACTTGCGAGTAATTACACACATACGAGTGTGATAACAAAATACATTATTTTTGTCGGCCATGTGCTCGATGTAGATTTTCATGTCCTCCAAAACGGGTGGGTAGTAAGGGGAAGGGTGAAAAAGTGCGGCGGGTGCTAGCGCCACGTAGTAGACACTGTTTTTGTTGTTTTCACTTTTTTTTCCCCTTAAAGTAAAACTAGTAAGCGTAAATATAAAATTACTTAGTAATATTTTTCTTCTTTCCTCTCTTGGTGACTGATTGATTCTAAATACTTTGTTTAATGAGATTGTTTAAACAAAGCTATTTTCTAGGACGTAGAGACCATGGGTATTATCTTTTTTAAACTTTAAAGTCATACTATTCGGCCAATGGTTTTTAGTGCTAGCCAAGCAGGCCTATAATTTCATCATGTGATCGCTCAAACATGGATTGCTTTGTAAACAACAATATAGACAGTGAAACTTAGAATCTAATTTAAAAACTTTAGATTTCATTGGTTAATTTTTTTGGTGGGCTGTGGTTGACCTCAAGCAGAAAAAAAAAACTTGTATTTAAAGAAACTTAAACTAAAAAAACTTATTGTTAAGTAAGTGTCTCGCACTAAACTTGACTAGCCACCCAAAATTAATTACAGTAACTTAAAAAAAAGGAAAACTAAAAATTGAAGTAAAGCAACTTCTTCAAAGAAACTTTTTTTTTTCCATTAAGTTTTTAAAAAAGCTCTTAGTTTAATCCAAATGTGGATGGGAATTTTCGTCATTGTGATTCTCTGAAGTAAAACTAGAAACAACTTTGTCAATGCTCGACAATATGGGATTGAGAATAGTTGAGTTTAGCACTTCAAACGATTTTTGTAAGACATTGCTTAATTACTGTTGAAAGGCCACACCGAGGAAGATGCAGATTACTTAAAAAAAATTTAAAACTGTTGGTTAAAAAATGAAATTGATAAACACACGTGCAGTGTTGTAAATTTACGGTGGCGAAGAATGAATTCGAGGAAAAAAACCCCAATAATATCTAATTAATTTAAACAAGATAACCTCGATTATTATTGTGCTAAAAAGTTCCACAAAAAAAAATTCAACCTAATTACAAATACACGGTAGACTGGTAACTTAAGTAGTTTGTTTGTTTGTTTTTTTTTTTTTTTTATAATGGTCAATGAGACCTGAGGTGTACTTGTCAAAATATTGTG